AAATGACAATTGTCATAATCGTTATTTTTGAATTTTTTTAAAGCAAATGGGTAAAAATAGATATTGTAAACATGTTAAATTAAAATTTCAATAAAGAAGTACCATAGAAAGGTGACAATTGATTTTTAAAAAGTGCGAGTGATCGCTTAAAAAAATTTAAATGAGGCATTTTGATGAAATAAATAGTAAAGGTATTTCTGAAAATTTCTTGGAAAAACTTGACACAATTGGCAAATATAGTGAGCGTTAAATTCCGTAACGAATTGTGTTCATTTACCAGTATATTCAAAAATTTAATAGCAGAATTAAATGAAATGGACGACGATATCATATGTACAAGTGATAAATGAATATGGAATATTACAATATGATTTGATAATAAAATGTTTAATAGGCGTGTGTGAAATAATTAAAAGTTACAATATGCACAAAAGTGCATACACTAATTTATTATTGGCATAAGAATACATTTTAATTTTGTCATTTGCGGAGGTTAACGAACATTTAGTAAATTAAAAAATTATAAAAAATAGACTGAGCTAATATAGACCAAGAAAAATTAGAAGCATTTTTAATTATAAGTATTAGCGCAGGTTGAACTAGAAGATATTCTTGTTTAGCTCAAAGTTAATGAGAGATTTATTAACGTAAAAATTATATATTATCTTAATTCTTTTAAATCTTATTTATATATATTTACATTATGATCGGTGCCTGATTTCATAAGTGCAAATTTTATTTTCTGTGCAATATTGTATAATTGCAATAATTTTATCTGTAATTGATTTTATATATTGAGTATGTATTCTTTTATATTTAACTAAATCATTTGCACTTATTTTCAAAAATAAGAATAAAAATCTTTATGGAAAAAAAATATTATTAAAAATTTTTTTACAAATAAAAAAAAATTTCTTTAAAAAAAATAAATTATGTTAATGGTGAAAAAAACAAGAAAATTTTATTTTTTTATAACTTTTAAAATTGCTAAAATTTATTTTAAAAGAGATAGATTTATTTTGGGAGAAAGAAACAAGGATAGGGTTTGGTTATTTATTTTCTTAAATAATAATTTTAAAAAATATACAAAAAATTGGTGGTGCCAGCTAGGCGCTAAATTCATTCAAAATTAAAATAAGAAACATAATAATAATATATGTATTGTGATTTGATTTGTGACTAGTGTTGCGTAATCGGCTAATTTTAGCCGACTACAAAATGGCTTAGCCGAGATTTTAGGTGAAAAAATCGGCTAAGCCTAATTAGGTAAAGCCTAAAAATCGGCTAAACCTAAAAATCAGCTAAGCCTAAAAATCGGCTAAGCCTAAAAATTGGCTAAAATAAATTAGTCAAAATTCTGCATCGATTGACGAAAATAGTTAACTTGCAATTGATTTTAAAATAGAAAAAAAAGTTGTTTACCCAAATTTTAAACAAGATTGTCTGGTGAAAATTGGCAAAAAAATAATAATTTCTAACTTAGGATTAGATGTTATGATATAAATTTTGCATATTAATTTCTGACCCGATGAACGGATGTAATAAAATGCCAATTTGCTCCTGTTTTTGGGGAAGAATATATTATTACCATATGTTTTTTCTATGGCATATACTCAGGCAATTTTCTCTAAAATATATTTTTTATAAAATTCTTCAATTCTCCACTCGACATTTTCAAAATTTTTGTGTTAGAAAGAATAGAAGTTAGAACAGTATGTATAATTATTATAAATATATTTTAAATTACTTAATATATTTTATATCGTTATCTAGAATTGCAGTGCTCCACTCGACATTTTCAAAATTTTTGTGTTAGAAGAATAGAACTTTTAAAAGTGGATATTTAATCTCTAATTCTTAATAAAGTTAGTGGATGAATAATATTGATTAAATAATATTTTTCACTACTTACTTTTATACTAATCCATAAAGTATATGTCAAGCAAAAGATTATAAATATAATTGATATATTATTCAACCAGGCGCGTAACCAATGGGGGGGGGAAGGGGGAAATCCCCCCCATCGCAAATTTGACTGTTTTCTTAAATATCATTTTAAGCTAATAAAAATTTTACCCCCCCCCCCTCAATCAAAATTTTACAAATATTTGAATAACGATTTTCCAACATAAATCTTATTTTTTATAAATATATTTTATTAAAATTTCCTTTCCTTGTGAGTACATTAACATTATTCAAAAATATTAATAAAATGGAAAAATTTCATCAAAGAAATTTTAAAAATAACGATTACGACAATTGTCACTTTTCTATGGTACATCTTCACTAAATTTTTATTTAAACATGTTATTATTACTCATTTTAACATATTTTCGTCAACAAAAATCAAAAAACTTTAAAAATAATGATTATGACAATTGTCGCTTATCTAGAGTACATCTTCACCAAATTTTTATTTAAACATGTTATCAATACTTATTTTAAAATATTTTCGTAAAAAACTCTAAGAATAACGATTAAGACAATTGTCACTTTTCATTGGTACATCTTCACTAAATTTATATTTACACATGTTATTAATACTTATTTTAACATATTTTCGTCAAAAAAATTCAAAAAACTTTAAAAATAACGATTATGACAATTGTCACTTTTCATTGTCTTCACTAAATTTATATTTACACACGTTATTAATACTTATTTTAACATATTTTCGTCAAAAAAATTCAAAAATAACGATTATACAATGTCAATTTTCTATGGTACATCTTCACTAAATTTTATTTAAACATGTTATCAATACTTATTTTAACATATTTTCTTCAAAAAAATTCAAAAAACTTATAAAATAACGATTATAACAATTGTCACTTTTCTATGGTACATCTTCCCTAATTTTTATTTAAACATGTTTTTAATACTTTTTTTAACATATTTTCTTCAAAAAAATTAAAAAAACTTATAAAATAACGATTATGACAATTGTCAATTTTCTATGGTACATCTTCACTAAATTTTTATTTAAACATGTTATTAATACTTATTTTAACATATTGTCGTCAAAAAAATTCAAAAAACTTTAAAAATAACGATTATGACAATTGTCACTTTTCATTGGTACATCTTCACTAAATTTATATTTACACATGTTATTAATACTTATTTTAACATATTTTCTTCAAAAAAATTTATAAAAAAACGATTATGACAATTGTCACATTTAAATATTATCCTTTTAACTTTTGTACAATATTAAGAGAAAAATATCTGCTAGATTGCCAAATTAGGATTTAATTCGGGTTCAGGAATTTTAAACTCTATTTAACGGAAATTTTGTTAACATACTAAATCGAAGGAAATAAAGGATTCCTAATCTAAAAATTCTACAATTATATTTAAAAAAAAAGATTAAAGGAAAATAATACATTTAAATTAATTCAATTTATTAGTCACAAATAGTGTTGCGTAATCGGCTAAAAACTACGCCTAAGCCTAATAAGGCTAAGCCTAAAAATCGGCTAAGCCTAATTAGGTAAGATTAAAAATCGGCTAAGCCTAAAAATCGTCTAACTAAGCCTACATAAATCTGCTAAAATTAAATTAGTCAAAATTCTGCATCGATGCTTATAGTATTAATTATTATTTATTTATTTTAGTAAAATAATTTATTTTATTTATATTTAATGTAAATATTTTATTATTATCAACAAATAAACATGATATGATTTAATATTTTTTATTTATATTATTATATTTTGAAATGAAAATAAATTTTTTTTAATTGATGTTATTTTAATAAAAAAAATAATATGCTGCTATATTGTAAAAATGTAATATTCTTTTTTAATTTATTAGTGATTTTCACAATCTTCTTTGTAAATACATACATCTTTTATTGAGGAATTATATTGTAAATTTTATTAGATAAATAAACAATCTTTTAGGTGAAATCTTTTATAATTTTTTTTATCATTTTTTTAAAATTATCTATTTTTTATTAAATGAGGTGGATTTTATGAAACTTTTTTGATGATTTTATATGATCAAATGTTAAGATCTAAACAAGCCCATTAAGAGAAATACGATGGTCAAAAGTTTTATACGAGTAACCATATTTTTTTTACCCCCGCTCCCAAGTCAAACTTATATACACCATATTTAGGTAGAATTAGACTTATTTGATACCAATCCATCATATCAATATTTGGTGACGATAATAATCCTAACCTACGTAGTAATTGCCATAGAGAGGTGGCGCTTGGTTTGCTAATTATTCACTAGTTCTAATTAGCTATCGATTGTTGCCTCTAATAATCATATATTAATATACCTTAATAAGGTCAAGAAAAAACAACTTAAAATATATTGGTTGTGCTTGTGGTTTGTGCTCATCGCTAGTTTAGTCGATTTTTAGGCCACGGATCAAAGTTTTACACTAACAATAAATAACACTTATATAAGCAATTGAGTTTCATAAAATTTAATAAACTATTTATTGAGTTTACGACTCAAGTTCAAAACTCGAGTCGCGACTTGAGTTTACTAATATTTGTATATAATATGAGTAATTCAAATATTTATTAAAATATACCAATAATTAAAATTTATTATTCATGAATTTTTTTTCTATTATCATTCGAATAATTTATTATTCATATTCGTAAATTTGGAATCAAATATAATAATTTTATATGACTAGACCTTTGTTCCTTCTATGAACAAAATATTCAGGCTTGCATAATATTTTTATGGATGAAATATTGAGTTAACCGTTTTTAAAAATAGACTCAAAACGAGCCGCTTAACAACACTAGGATAGAAGATTATATACCCGCATCACTTACATTAAAGAGAAACTTTAAAAAGAGGGGTCTCGGTATTATTGTTTTCTTGTACATTAGATTTAAAAAAGGAAACTAAATTAGCCTACAGATGCTAGACACTAAATTAAGTTAAAAAGAATATAAATTAGATATAAACATAACATTAAAAGGTGAAGATCACCTTAATTGATGTATTTAAATAACATTAAATAGATGACATCGCCATTCATTTATAAAATTGAAACTAATTTGGCATTTAAGTTGAATAAAATAAATTTTGGAAGTAATAGCAATTTATACGATTATTATCAATACATTATTGCGAATTATTACACGAAAATTGTTCATAACAAAACAAAACAATATAATAAATAAACAATATCAGGTGGTCATAATTTATGATCATTCATTCGTGGGAGTTGATATATACGTTTTTGTTTCAATCCTCCAGAAAAAAATAATTGCCAGATTTTTTTTGATCATGGTCCTATTATTTATAAATTTTTTAAAAAAGTAAATCATTCTTGAATAGATGTGAATTAGGCTGGATATCAAATATTATTTAACATATTTTGAATTATAAATTAATCAAATACAACGAATCCAGTGAGGTTAAGATCGTACCCCCCCCCCTCCAGTTATTTAAGCTTTCATATTTGGAGGAAGAAAATTGGATTTCTATTAAGATATTCTATATTTCTTAAATTCTGAATAAATAACCTTTGTAATTTAAAACAAGATTTTTGAAATTTGTGTTGATATTATTTCCTTTTCCATCAAAATTTAAAAAAATTGTGTGTATTTATTTATTTATTGTTAAAACAAAAATTTTACCACGCACTGCTCCCTCCCTTAAAAAATTCATCGGTCCGTGCCTGATATAATTAAAAAGGAGTGTCATATTAATTATTAAATAAAATTGATGAGTCAACCCAATAAAATTGATGAGTCAACCCTTGATTATGAAAATTTACAATATTTTTAGTTAACATAGTATAGGGCTCGGAGCGAGAATAATTGAGCATGAAAATGCTTTTGATTTTTGATAAAATTAAGATTTTCGGCAATTTGTGTAGAAATGATTAACCCTTCACTACAAAGGTGGGGTAAATAATACCCCACGGCTTTTATAATCTTGGTAATTAAAAATCCTGAATAATTTGACCTGGTTTTTATAGAGTTTAATATTTTGATAAGGAACATATCTATCAAATTTCAAGAAAATTGATTTGATATTTTTTTAAATATTTGCAATTCGTTGAGCTTGGGGTAGTATATATCCCACCTTTGTACTTACGAAATTTTTTTTCCAAATATTTTTTTATTATTTAACATTAATATAGAAAATTGAAATTTTAAAATTTTTCAATGTTGTATTGTGACACAAAATTTTAAAATTTTATACTATTTTTTTTTCTTGTAGAGCTAAATACTATAAAAGACGCATATGGAAAATTTAATATCATCAAGTTCTGGAAGTATTGTCTATTTAATATTTATAACATTTTATTTAGATTGTGAGTCAGGTGATGATTAGAGATATACATTTAGCTTATTTGCATTTAGAGAGAATACAACTTTAGTTTCATACATACCAAAAAAGTATAATATAGTGTTGCTTTCTACACACTACATTATGATAACAAAATTGACCAGAAATTATAACTTTTTATAATTTAAAAAAAAATGGAGTTGATACAGTTGATCAACTATCCTCCATGTATTATATATCCAGGAAATCCAATAAATGGCCATTGACCATTTTTTATACTATAGTAAATATATCAATAATAAATGTACTGATAGTTTATAAAGCTCATAATTTATCGAATATAAAAATTTATAAAATTATTAGCAATGGAACTGATAACTCCATATATGAGCAGATCTGAGAACCCTAGTATAAGTAGATTATTATGTAACAACATTGGAAATGTTCTCAATATAACTGATGAAAAACATATTCCATCAAATAAAAAGAGAAGATGTTATGATTGTCCAAGAGTGAAGGACGTAAAAACAACATTTATTTGTTTAAATTGTTCAAAATTAATTTGTAAAGATCATATGCATATATTTTGTCGTGAATGTTAGTACAAAAATTTACATGATATTTGATGTTTAATTTTTTTTAATATTTGATATTTTTTTATAAATTTATATAATTATCTTTATTCAACATTGATTTAATAAAATATATAATAAAATTTGCATTTTTTAAATTTTTTTTGGTGATAAAACTATAATTAAAGGAAAGTCTCAGAAAAAAAATTTATTTCAGCAACTTTAGGAAAATTTGCATAACTTTTTTTAGAAGTAATTATTAATCTAAGATTTTGTATTTATTATTTCCAATAATATTTTAATATATATTCAAAATTTTAGATCTCAAATTTTAATATGTTTGAGATATAGCTAATCAAAATTTGGGGTAAAATAGACATCCTTTGTAGTTAAGGGATTTTTTTCCACCTTTGTAGTGAATGGTTAAAAACCAATCTGGTAATAATTTAAAATATATAAAATAAGTCAATCATTTTGAATCATTGAATTTAAAAAAGTAATAGAATCTTAGGAAAATATTTTTTTAAATTATCAACAGGAAACAAGTTTGCCTCAAACTATTTTTTACTCAGATTTCATTAGGTAAAATAGCAGGTATCTGTATTTTTATTACTTTTTTGGTGCAAAAATAGACTTATCTCGGAGCCCATTAAATCATCTTATTAGGTTCTAACTATACAGATAAAAAACGAAACAAGAAAATATTTAGTTTAAAAAACGCAAACGTCATTAGTTTGGTGAAAAGTTTGAATATTCAAAAAAGAGTATAAATCGAATAATACATTTTCGAATTCGATTTGTTCGATTCGTTTTCATACAAAATTTAATCATAGTAGTGGATTCGAATTATTCGTTTTTAAAAAAAATATTTTTTCTCAGGGTTGGCAAGCCAACGAATTGATCGAAAGTATATTTGACCGGTTAAATACTCATAAATGTTATTTGTAATATTTGTGATTAAATATATCATATAATTATTATGTATTTTTTTTAAAGATCCTGTTTATCAATTTAATTGCATAATATCCACTTCTACTATTAGAAAAATATTTTATTTTAAAAAAACGGTAGAAGTTAAACCCAAGATTTTGTAAATGATAAGATCTCCGAGACCCCAAAGGTAAAATCTAAAGAAAAACGTTATATGGGAACATTTTGATATGATTTTACCTTAACAGAGTTGAGCTTGTTGATCCTAGGCCGAAAATTGTTGGGATCACGACGAAACGTTATATTCAAATTGTGCAAAAATTTATTCATTCCTTGTAATAAGCTTTGAGGGCTATAATTTTATGAAAAATATAGTTATCTAAAAATAAAACTATATTATAGCAAATTATTATATCCTTTCCAACCTGAGACTTTTAACATAAGTGAGATTTTTGGTGTTAAATGAGTGTTTTTAAGCAAAATACTTTCCATTTTAAAGCAATTGTAAAGCATCCCTTTTTGGAACTAAATAGTGTATTTATGTAGTTACGTAATTATTATATTTTATACCAATTTTTCTCTTAAAAATATAGCAGCTCAAAGGTGAAAAAAACATAAATTGAAAAGCCATAATATTAAAGGATTTTCTTAGGCACGCACCTGTAGATTGAGCTGAATTAACGGATTTAGCCATTACCCAACTATAGTCTTAAACCAAATTGTACATTTTATTATACTAAATTAAAGCAGGCAATTCGATATCCTTCTAACTAAATAAACCTATTTTATACTTTTCCAACGATAATTGCAGGTTTTAATTAGGAATTCTAATTTCAAAGCATAATAATGAGTTAATATTAAGTAGGGATTAAAAAGTATATATTAAATACTTTATTTCCAAGATGGAAGACAAGTATATATATAGCGCTGACTGAGGCCGGCTCGCATAGGCTCAATCGAGCCAGTTGTTAATTTTTTTTTTCAATTTGTCAGTTGTTTAAAACAATTTGTGACCAACAAACCGGTTGTAAAAATTATGAAATAAATAATTAATAAAAAAATCGATTTTTCAAAATAGTTTTTGAAAAATAAGATAAATTTAATTTTTTTTAATAGATTTTAATTATAATATATGATTTAGCTACAGTGTTTCCAAATCAATAAAGGAAAAGTTTTCATAAAAGGAGAAGGTCCGATCAAAAAAGGAAAAGGGTCAATAAAAGGGAAAGGTTCAATCAAAAAAGGAAAAGTGTCAATCAAAAAAAGAAAAGTCCCAAAGGTTTAAGAAAAAGTCCGATCAAAAAAGGAAAAGTGAACAGAAAAATAAAAGGTCCAATCAAAAAAGGAAAAGTTTCAATCATAAAAGGAAAAGGTCCGATCAAAAAAGGAAAAGGGTCAATTATAAAAGGAAAAGGTTCAATCAAAATAGGAAAAGTGTCAATCAAAAAAGGAAAAGTGTAAACAAAAAAGGAAAAGTGTAAACAAAAAGGAAAAGATTCAATCAAAAAGGAAAAATGTTAAACAAAAAAGAAAAAGGTCCAATCAGAAAAGAAAAATTCCCAGAAGGAAAGGAAAAGTGTCAATTAAAAAAGGAAAATCGTTATTTTTAAAAAAAAATTTCTTGTCAATTTTCTTAAATTTTTAGTATTCCTTCTTATTTTATTTCTAACCTTTTGCGATTTATTTAATTTATTTTTCTTACTATATCTTTTTTCAATTTATTTTTCTTCTCATTTTTGACTTTTTAAAAATAATTTATAAATTTTCCGTTATTTTCTTTGTCATTACTTTTTTTTCATCATACATACAATATTCTTTTTATGATTTTTCCCCTTATATTGTAATCTTTTACATACATTTCTAACCTTTTCAATCTCTTTAAGTCATTTTAATCTTTATTTTTCGAATCTTTTCTCAATTTTTTTTCTTCTTGATAATTCTTTTTAACAATTAAATTTAATTTTTACTTAATTTTTATTTCTCAATGATAAAAAATTTTTTACATATCGAATTATTTAATTACAATTATTGAATTAAATTAATCGTTTGGTTATAATGTACCATTCTAAAATTCAATATTTTTGAGTAAGTAAATATTTTTTTTGTAATTATTTTTTTAACTATTTTCTTTGATTTATGAATAATTAGACGTAAAATGAGGTAAATGTTATCATTTAAAGGATCTGAGTCTTTTTTGTCATTTCTTCCAATTTTTGAGTATATATTTTAAAAATAAATTTTTTCTTGTTTTAAAAAATAAAATTATGAAGATATGATAAAAACAAGGGGAAAAACATTAACAATGAAACAAAAGCTCGAAGACGCGTTAAAAAAGGATAGATCAAAAATATAGCATCATGTTTTAAAGTAAGCTATAAAACAGTGATAAATATTAAATACTCCCATCTCAAAAATGGAATAAAATATAGTTTGCCATAGAGGTTCGCGATCACGCAAGAAATCAAATCAAGAACAGGAAGAATATATATTAAATTGTATAAATTTAGATTGCACTTTATCCTTAAAAAGGTTATGAGAAATGATTAAAGAAAGATATGATGTGGAAATATCAAAAAATAAGGTATCAAGGTTACTATCATGATTTATCAGTTAAAAAAAATACTGAATCTTATCGAGATTCGCAAAGAATACGTCATGTAAATATATTATAATGATCAGTTATAGTTTATATTCAATTCAATTGCAATTCTAAAAGTATATAAAAAATTTTTAATGATAAAATCACTTATATATAAAATAAGTAATAAAAATATATTATGAAATTTGAGATAAATATTTAAATTAATGTATAGAGGATTTCTTTCTAGAAATACCAAAATTTCCAATTTAAAAGAGATCAGCCTGCTGCGAAGGGGACTGTCAATATCACCAGCATCACTAAAAACAGATTCTGAAGAGATCATCGCACACTTTTATAAACAGAATGTGCAAAAAAAATCAATATGGCAGTAGGTTTATTGATTAATTATTATCATTAAAGAAAATAAAAATGGATTTCTATTTTATTTATAAAAATAAATGGTTTTTTATATGACTTTTTTTAAATTTTATTTTTGTTAAAAGCGCCATTTTTTTATCGGATCGGGAAATTGTATAATATTGGCCGATAACCGATATTTTAAAGTGAGTGAAATATCTGCCCGATTCGATAAAAAACATAGGTACATCCTTAGTTTTGATGATTGATATATTTTTTTGCCAAAGGCAGTGGAGTACACGACGATTACCCTATTGCAAGCTCAAACCAATTAGGGAATAATTTTCAAAATAATTTAAGTACTTGCAATATCTTAACAAAATATTCAAAGAGTAGTTCATTGGGTTAAGTTAAAGTAAAACAACAATTTAAAATATGAATATGATAAGCGATAAAAAAAAATTGAATAATGTACAAATTGTTTCCTATAAAATAAATTAAAACTTATTTAAAAAAATTTTGAGCGATAAAATTAAATTTTTTAGAGTGATACAATGAATTTATATTTACATAAAATTTTTTTTTATTAATGAGCCAGTTGTGAGGCAGCACAACGCTGGGTATATATAATAATATATATACTAATATTTCATACGTATTAGCTTTAGTTTTAATCGACGGTTTTCCTTCAAATACTATAACCCTATCCGCTAGATAAGTTGCCATAATGAAGTCATGTTCTACAACGAAAGCCGTTTTTTTTGCATGAAGTATGAATCTAAAATATCAAAAAATATGCATACGATAATAGTAGGAAATGTGGTCAAATAGCATATTAATTAAGTTAAAATGCTATAATGTAATTTCAAAACATTAAGGAGGATAAACAAATATTATTTACAAGTGTTTTTGAATTACCTTTTAATAACTTTCGAAGCTATCAATCTTTGTTCTGAATCAAGATATGCTGATGGTTCATCGATGAGGTAAACATCTGCTGGTTTGCCCAAGCAGAGGGTTAAGGCTATTCTCTGTAATTCTCCCCCTGACAAATTAGGCACCTATGGGTTTAGAAATCTTTGTTATTATCAGAAACTAAGAAATAAAATATGGATGGAAGAAAGAGAGATGGAAGTGTGAAATAATATAAATTAATTGCCTCTAAATCAATGAGATTATCTATGGCCAACGGTTTCATCACATCCGCTATAAATTGGGGATGAACGTAAGCATCTCTTATCTTCTCGTGCAGGAGATTCCGGACAGTACTTTGATATTTTGGGCTAATTTTCTGGGGTTTGTAACTTATATTGAGTATAGGGACCTCAGCATCTATTATGATAATGCAATTAATTATTTTAATATATAGTTTAAATGTGAAAAATGTCACAAGGAAAATATTTTGATTGAAGTTTAGATATTTTTTATTTGAATTTTAAAAATTGTTTATATCTATTTTATTCTTGTTTGGTATTTTATCGCCGGGGTGGCCTAGTGGTGTATGATGTATGCTTGAAAACCGAAGGTCTCAGGATCAATCCTGGTAAGGAGCTAAAAAAAATTTGGGTTTTTCTTCGATAACGGATGTGTACAGACATATGATAAGATGATTTTCTGAGCTGAGAAATGCCACCCCGGTCACCGACAGGCTTGGGCAGCCGGGTGCGCTAGGATACTTGTCCAATAAACCAAATAAGATGGCCAGCTGAACTCGTGGGTCATTCAAGGATGATAACGATCTCTTGGCCAGCGCTAATGGTGACCTCGGGGGTCGTTCAAGCACAATGTATACCAAGCTAAAATGGAGTTGTTAATGATACTCCATCGGGATTGATACTCCGGTGGGAGATCAAGCTTACAATGGAATCAATAAGAATACTCCGGTGATATCTATCGATATTGATGCTTTGGTGTGAGGAATACGTGGGATATCTATCGATATTGATTTTGTGAGACCAAGATACAATGACCTCGTAACGATATTCCGGTGGGAGATCCAAATGGAATCGATCAGAAAAATAAAAATAGATAGTATGAGTAATAAAGTTGAGAGAGATTGAAGGAGCTTACCACCAAAAAAGGTGAAAGCTAGAAGGGAAAAAAAATTCTTGTTTGGTATTTAAATCTATATCGTAGACACATGATACCAAATAAAAATATTCTTCACAAAAATTATCCAAGGGCCCAAGGAATTGTAGTCGTTTCGTTAGGTCTCAAATCGTCTGAGGGGATAGGTTGGTGGGCTCAAGATTGTTAGGTATCTGAGCGGCTACTGTTAAATATTAATGATATGATTTATTGTAGTGTGGCGTTGTTTCCCTTGAATATATAAACAATTCAACTCGTTTCTGGACCCAAGAGTGAAGCTGGACGATGTCACACCCTAGGCGTAAACCGATGGCAACTCTCAATTGTTCCTCTTATAAGAGATTACCAAATCTAGGGGTGTTAACCTCCCATTTGTTTATTGCATCATCTAACAAATAGTAGGTTAGGGATATGAAACCTGAGATCATAGTTGTTTATTAATCTGGATGATAAAGTTAAAATGTTAAGAGAAGAAATCAGAACCATACCAGGTAATTGGGTATGGCCAGTTAGATGTGATAATTCAATATTTAATTTTTTCAAAAGGATTTGAATTTGTCCAAAATTTTAATTATTAAATTGTTGTTTGTGAAGAACGGGAATATGTGTAAAAATTCTGAAATGTCAAGATATTTACGAATTAAGAAGCACGGGGTAAGATGTGTTCCATGTTAAAAAAGCTCTTGAAAAATTTTTCAAGAAATTATTTAGATTTGATGTTATTTGCGTAATAATCACAAAGATATTCCATTTAAAATTCACATCCTCGATGGAGCGTTTAATCGCCCTTGCTAAAAGAGATAGCGATAACGTCCTAGTGCAGTAGTCTCATTTTCCTGGAGATTAATAGCCAAGATTATCAACATGCATCAAACATGATGCCGTCAATTCCTAAACTCCTACCAGCCAGGTTTTTGGATCAATGAAGGTTATGAAATATCGGCTCATACTTTAAGAATTTACATTGAAAACCCTCCTCCAGACATGATAATATGAACCAACCACCCAATATGTTAGAATACAAAATAATTCCAGAGTTTAACCATTTTAGGTTCACCACTCACAAATAACATAAGTCTGAAAAAATTTATAGGAAAAATTTTTTAAAAGCCTTTCAAACAAAGAAATCTTATCCCTTTTACCAGCACATCAGTGCCTATTTTTAATTCGCAAATGTCTTTACATTCCAAAATTTTTACATATTTCCGTTCTTCATTTTAACTATTACTAAGAAATAAATAGCTTGATTATTGTAAAATAATAAGAAGGGGTACTTTTTCTGGGCGATTGTCCAGAACATTTATTCCTGGCTTCATTTAAACGGTCCATTGATTTTTATAATAACGTTTTTTATAATTCTTAATCTGGTTTAAAATTGCTTAGTAATCCTTTATTTTTTAAAGATTACATTAAATAATATATTTTATTTATTTTAACGATTAGTTTTTATTATAATAATATATTACTCAATTACTAAAATCTTATATTATTTTTTCTGATTTGCCGTTTTCTTCCATGAATTAATATGAATTTTCTAGGTTTTAAATTTGGATTTGTGGTCAGGTAAAAATATCTTTTAGGCGGGCTACATCGTATGCAATGTCCTAGTTCCAATTTATGGAACGCTATGATCTATGAAATTTATAGGATGGGAATAAAACAGATCCCCAATTTCAAGTATTGGCTTAACACTCAGCTTTTTATTTCTTGCCGATACCAAATTATTCAACCCTCGAATGGTTAGTTGAATTACTTTACACTAAAAAATTTATATTTTTTTGAAAATATAATATTTTTCTAATAATTAGTTTCTTAGACAAATTTTTTTTAATTTAACCTAATTTAAGAAAATATCCCTCTTGTGCTTCCTAAAATTATTTTTATTTCTTGAGATATTCGGTATCGACAAATCTCTTACCTTTATTATCTAACTTTTTAAGAATGAAATCAGGTGTGAAGGTAAAAATATTAGCACTTTTTATGTATTTTAAATAAACAAAATTGTGAATTTAAATAACAGTTGGTTTATTTATTGTGTATATTCTGAAACCCATTAGTATCAGAACCGATAAAAAACAGTGTTCGGGTATCTCTGTAATAAAATTTTTTAAAATCACCCCCCCCCCCCATATTATAAACATGTTAATAATATTATATCAATATTTTTGGAATAAAATAAGTTATAAAAGTCACATTAAAATGTTTTAATCAGGGTTGGCAAAGTCGGTCAATTGACAGTCAAATTCTAAAATATTATTAGTGAATAAATATGTATATTGATATAATTAATAAATATATATTCAAAATGTTAATCAATCTAATTAGGGTACAATTTATTTAAATATATATTTGTATAATGAAGGCATAGATTTAATTATAATTTTATATAAAAATATAAGAATTAATATTAAAGTTTGATTTTAAAATATAAAAACAAAATAATTTTTCATTTGTGAACTTTTTTGAATTTTTTTAAAGCAAATAGGTAAAAATATATATTGTAAAGATGTTAAAATAAAATTTCAGTGAAGATGTACCATAGAAAAGTGACAATTGTCATAATCGTTATTTTTTAACTTTTTTTAAAGTAAATAAGTAAAAATATATATTGTAAAGATGTTAAAATAAAATTTCAGTGAAGATGTACCATAAAAAAGTGACAATTGTCATAATCGTTATTTTTTAAAATTTTTTTAAAGTAAATAGGTAAAAATATATATTGTAAAGATGTTAAAATAAAATTTCAGTGAAGTGAAGACGTACCATAGAAAAGTGACAATTGTCATAATCGTTATTTTTTAAACTTTTTTGAATTTTTTTAAAGTAAATAGGTAAAAATATATATTGTAAAGATGTTAAAATAAAATTTCAGTGAAGATGCACCGTAGAAAAATGACAATTGTCATAATCGTTATTTTTTAACCTTTTTGAATTTTTTAAAACAAATAAATAAAAATATGTATTGCAAAGATGTTAAAATAAAATTTCAGTGAAGATGTACCATAGAAAAATGACAATTGTCATAATATTTATTTTTCAACTTTTTTGCTGAAACGAGCTGACTTTAGCCTATGCCCGTTATTACTAACTGCCATAATTGACGTGTATGGTTTAGCAAACCTCACTAGCTCTTAATTGACAAATCATGATTGAAATAATATCTAGATTTCATAAATACTCATAAAACTTATTCAAATTATAGAAGAGTTTATAAACTTTTCAATAAAATTTAAAATATTATATATTTTAATAAAAATTAAAATTCTGTCATTTAAAAATCTTTTGAAAATTTCACAAAATTTTATTTCTAAATAAAATTTTCAGCAATCATTTATTATAGAAAACTTTATTAGGATAAAATTTTAACCTTCTGGTTTATTTAATTTTAAAATGAGATTATATGGTTTTCCAAGCCCCGGGGTTTACCTAACCCTAGTCTCCCCTATACTATTTTATAATTATGTAATTTAACTTCTAATATTTTGCTAAGAAGATTATAATATTGTATAACAAAATATTCAAATAATAGCTTTGAATTAGTGATCTGCATCGGGCCTAATTTTTCAGGCCCGGCCCGAAATATTTTTAAAAAAGTTTACCCCGGTTGGAACGATATTTTTTTTAAAAAAATTTACTGACCCGGCTCGAATTAATTTAAATACAGAAATTGATATTTCTCTAATTAAACGATATTTATTATATGGTATCTAGTTTCTATAAATAAAATAAAATATTTATATTTTACATAAAAAATTAATCATAAAATTGATAAATTTATATAAAAAAATTTCTAAGGCCCACCTGACCCGGCCCGAATTTTCTTTAAAAATATTCGGCCCCACCCAACCCAAATCCAATTTTTTTTAAAGCCGGACCTTGCAAATGGTACCTCTAAAGGTCTCTGATTTAAATCATGATTTAAAATTTTACAATTACAATACTATTCTTAAAATTAATCTTTTTATTATATCAGTATATTCTAAAAATTAATATCTTTTCTTAAATTAAAATAAAAATACCCCCTCTCCCCCTCCCCCCAGCCTTGGTAAAAAAAAAATATTTAAAAAACAATAAATTTTATATCCAAAAAAATAAATATTAAAAATATAAACAATTAAATTAATATTAAAAAAATAACAAAATAAATAAAATATAATATTATCCCGAAACTTTTTATATACACTTTTTCCATATGATCATTTTTAACATATTTATTCATTGTTTATTATATTTTCTATCAAATTTACCTTTCTTATATTAAAGTTTGGAAAATGACTTGTGAAATCTTTATTTAATGTATATTTTATTTACATAATAAAAGATCAAAAAATATTTATTTTACTATTTGTATTGCACATAATATAACGAAAAAATATATCTATATTATATAATAATCTAGTGTAATAATTTATTAAATTAATTGTTCAAAGGAATAGATCGGACTCCCTCTTCGATATATCGTATCGTATGTGAATAGAAGGCTGAGAAATTGAAATTAATGAAATTAAGTAATAGGCTAGTAATTGCCTCAATTATATGAATTCTGTTATTGGGTTTGGGATATATAAAACGATACTGATTTTTCAAAACGCCAAAAAAATTCTCAAGGGGTTTAATTGAGGGGAATAGGGTGGAAGATATACTATATTTTGATGGTTTTCTGTTATTATATGAGCTCGGTAAATGGGCGCACTATCCATTATTATTAGCGAATTGAACGGTAAAATGTATGATAATTCATCCAGGTAAGTTTTGAATTTTATTGATGTAAATGCCCTGTCAATAAACATGTATTTTTTGAAACCATTAATTCCTATGGTGCATAAAACCGATAAGTTTTTCCCCTTTGAAGGAGGGAGTTTGACGGATGGCCTCTTACCCAGAGGTGCCCACCCATAATGGGCAATAACGTGGAAATTGAAGCCTGTTTCATCTAAATAGAATATATTTTGAAATGGCACGTTCATCATATTTAGGCAATATTTTTTACGAATATTTATAACATCTGGGGAATTCCGTCTATCGGGTTCTTTTCCAACCCTTTTCCTGCTCCATCCCATTGATTTAAGGAATCTAGATATTCCCAAATCACTCATTTTGAGATGAGGTGGTAAATTTTCCACTATATTTTTTATCGTCAATCTATTATTATGTTCTAGTAGCTGTATAATTTTAGATTTTAATTCAGAATCATCCTTTTTGTTCCTTCCTCTTTGATGGATTATGTAATCGGGCAAAGGGGCACCGTAGTATTCGGGGAATGGTACATCTTCACTGAAATTTTATTTTAACATCTTTACAATATATATTTTTACCTATTTACTTTAAAAAAATTCAAAAAAGTTCAAAAATAACGATTATGACAATTGTGACTTTTCTGTGGTATCTTCACTAAAATTTTAACTTAACATGTTTACAATATATATTTTTACCTGTTTGCTTTGAAAAAGTTCAAAAATAACGATTATAACAATTGTCACTTTTCTATGGTACATCTTCACTGAAATTATATTTAAACATCTTTACAATATATATTTTTACCTATTTACTTTAAAAAATTCAAAAAAGTTAAAAAATAACGATTATGACAATTGTCACTTTTCATTGGTACATCTTCACTGAAATTTTATTTTAACATCTTTACAATATATATTTTTACCTATTTGCTTTAAAAAAATTCAAAAAAGTTCACAAATAACGATTATGACAATTGTCACTTTTATATGGTACATCTTCACTGAAATTTTATTTTAACACATTTACAATATATATATTTTTACTTATTTACTTTTCAAAAATAACGATTTTGATAATTAATATTTTTCTATGATGGTACTTCACTGAAATTTTATTTTTACATCTTTACAACATATATTTTTAGCTAAAAAATTTAATTCAAAAATAACGATTATGACTTAATTTAGTCGACTTAATTAGTTCTTTTAGTCGACTTAATTAGTTCTTTTAGTCGACTTAATTAGTTAGTTAGTCGTCTGTTAGTCGACTAAATTTACTCGATTAACAACACTAATCATAACCTAAAATTGATTTAAAATATTAAAGAAAATGATAATGTTGAATATAAAACAGAACAAGGCTTTGCCGCATAGAACTAAACGTTAATTATAAAATCAATTTTAAACATATTACAAAATTTAATATTACATAGATTCATTTTACTATTATATATACAAAATAAAGTTAATATTGTTCTAAAAACCATTTATTTGAATTTGACCATATTTGACCGGTCAAATATCGGTAATCTAATCATAATTGGCCGTCCAAATACACAACCCTGGTTTTAACAACTGTCATCGAAAATTCGTGAGAAGCGGGATAAACAAAATAAAATGCCTTAGATGGAACAATACAGAACAATAAAATTTGGCAGGAAAATTACCACCATCGTCGGGTTTCAAATTGCCAGCCAACATACGGATAAGCGTAGTTTTGCCAGTGCCATTTTCGCCTAGCATCACTATGATTTCGGAATCGGTAAAAGCACCTTCCTCAATGTCCAACTCGAAATTTTCTTTTTTCAAATATAATTTTTAAAAGATTTTTTGAAATAAATGTTCATTGATCTTCTAATTTATTTATTTGTGGTATTAATTCTTATAATTTAAAATGTTTACTTGGGGGTAGGGCCTATAATATATTTTTTTTTAAATTATTTTAAAATCTAGTAAGTTAGCAAAGCTAAGCATAGTGTAAAAAAATTAACGTTCTCGGCATTTGTAAGGATAAAAATGTAAATACTCATATCTTGTGTTGATAAATGGCGGGTTCTATAAAACCCCCGACTTAGGGTTTGGACCTAATAAATCAAATAAATGAATTTTGAATACAAACCCGAAGCACAAAGCCCCAGTAAAAACTTTTAGCATACCCGGGGAGTTGTTCCGAGAACACCCAGAGCAAAAATTCAAATATAACCTGTGGTACAAACCCAAAAATAAATAAAATCGAAATCTGGGAAGACTCGCATAATTTAAAAAAAATCTCCTAATTAAATGAAACATTTATTTCTCCATTAAATTTTTAAAATCTCGCATACCTCAAAATTTAAAAGTTTTGTGTCCAATATAAATTGAATAATTGTTCTATTTTTAAGCTAAAACTAATATCAACTAAAAACGTAAATTATAAATGATATAATCCAAATCTTAAAATTTTATATGGAAATTTTTTAAAAGTAAAGTTAAAAAAGACAATGTACAGGCTAGATGCAAAACCTTAAACAAAAAAAATGATAAATGGTTAAACACAAATTTTGTTAAACATACTCTTTTCCGTTTAATGGCGCTTTACTAAGTTTACCTGGGCAAACCTTTTAATGGTCCTGAGCCTCGTTATTGAGTTTCTCATATCATCCGTTATCACTTTTATCCACGTCATTCTGGGTTACTTCTATCAAGGTGCATCTCTTTGTCCTTAGCACATCTCTCTAGCCACTAAGTCCATAACTAGATAACTAATAGATCCTTTGTGTAGTCCTACATTTGCTTCAAACATTCATTATCTATATAATTTGTCAGTAGTGTGTGCTCCCACATATATTGCTATCACTGCTTTAAATTCCAACGGGTTTCATTTCCTGGAGATTTTATTGCGGAAATTTTTTTGATAAGTACCATTTTTTTTCTAAGGAATAACTATCCAGAAAACTTTCGAGAAAATTTTTTTAGGGAATAATTCTTCGCTTACTCGTTAAGTATTTATTATATGAACAGTAACAAATTTCAAGTTATATTTTATCATAATTTATTATTTGTTTATAAATAACTCTCCCCCAAAATCCTACCTTCAGCTTCAACACGGCGGAGGAATGACAACGTCTTCTAGTAGATTTTAGATGTTCCCTGGGGTCCGGGTTTAGAATTGATATCTCTCCTTTCAACGGGGTGTAAAAGTCACTTAAAGGAGTTGATGTTAGGAAGGATATATTGTAAAAAACCTGCTCAAAATTCCCTAATGATTACAACCAAGCATGGGAGGGGTACCGCCTAAAGTACCTTGTGTTCTCATCGGCCTGCAACAACATAAAAGATGGAAAATCTAACGGAGTCACGATTAGTAAAACTAGATATATGATGCCCATAATCGACCTAATATGTGGAGAAATCAGTCTATTAGTGGTAAGAGTTGAATGATGGCAAAACTGGCGTTGGGGTATTTGTTGCAGAGAAATTGGTGGACAAACTAATAGAACTAAGAAGATTAGATAGCTGGATAATGAACAACAAAATAATCTTTAGGAAAGCTATGCAATATTATCTCAGCATATGCTCCTCAGGTTGGAAGTGAAGAAGAGAAAGATATATTTTGGGACAGTATATATGGGGCGACATCGATGCTGGCAAATGAAGAGGGAATTATCCTAGCTGGTATTTGAATTGACATCTGGAGGTAGGTAGTGTGGGCTATGAGGGAGTGCATGGGGATTTCGTTTAGGTACAAGAAATCCCGAAGGAGAGAATTTTGGATTTTGGTGATGATATGTATGATTGTTTGATGTGCAATGTTTAAAAAGATACAGAGAATCTGGTGACTTACAAATCGGGCAGTGCTAAAAGTGCAGCGAATTACTTGTTAGTGAGGAGATGTAATAATAGTAAAAAATGTGAAAGCGATAGCGGGGGAGGAATGAATTGAGCAGCACTGACTAGTTATATATCTTACTTTTAAAGGCGTCAGGCTAAAAAGTTTGTAAATTGAAGGAGTAGAGCGCTATATGTCAATTCAGTAAGACATTCGCTATAAGATAGGCGGAGGTTGCACAAGCATCTGGGATAAATGACAAATGGGAAGCCATGAAGCAAGCATGGTTGAGACAACTGAGGATGTATGTGGATGGACAAAAGGACGGCCTAGACTCAAGGAGACATGGTGGTGGAATTCGGAGGTAGCGAAAGCTGAGGACGAGAAAAGGAGGTGGTTCAAAAAATGGTATAATAGTAAAGAAAATAGTGATAAAGAGATTTATAACAAGGCGAAGAGAAATACCAACAAATTAATAGCGAAAATGCCAAAATATCAAAGGCAGGGGTTTGCAAAAGACATGGAGTGAGGAAAGAAGGGAAAATATATTCCAGATCGCAAAAATGCGACAGGATGTAATAAACGTGAAGTGTCTGAAAAATAGAAATGGAAAATGGTAATTGTAACGGAATTAAGTCTGGAAGACCTATATGGAAAAACTTCTGACTGAAGAGATGATTAATAAAATTAGTTGTGTAAAGGTGGAAGATCCTGGCGTTTGACGAGGAAGGAATTACGAAAGCGTTTGAAGATGAAAAAAAGTTAATTATTTTTTGAGATATTAAAAATTAAATGTGTATTTTCAAATTTTGACGTTTTTAATGATGAGCATATATCAAAAAGTAAGCCGATTTGAAAAGGTGTATATGGTACCATACCAACATACAAATTTTTAAAAAAAATCGATGAAGGTCGGGTTGTGAATCCAGTTTTTTTTGGTTGATTTAATATGGAATATAACACATATTAAAAAATAGTTTGATTTCTCTATATTATCAACATATAGAAAACTAAGATTTTTATCAATTATAATTTCTCATTTCATGTCTGATTTTTTTAATCTTAAAACAATTAATAAAATTTTTAAAAAATCCCCCATTTTTATGCCATTAAGCATTGAGGTAGGTGTCTTTTTTAACCAAATGAAAAGGAATGGTAAGTTGTTTTTGTAACATATTTTTTATAATTAAACTTTCCATATTCATAACGAAACTTATATTAGTGTTTTTAAGGCTCGATTTTAAAAATGGCTAACCCAATATCACAGCCAAAAAATATTATGCAAAACTGGAGATTTTGCTCACGGATAGCAGAAAGATTTGAGCATATATTAACGAAATCTTGCTCTTGCGTAATATTAGCCAAAATCTTAATTCATCATAAAAAATGAATATTAATAATTTTCCTCTTTTTAAAACATAAAGAAACATGAATAATTGATAATAATCTTTTCTTTCTTTTAAAATTAATTACAATATCGCCGTTTATAAAAACTAATACATAATATCAACGCTTATAAATAAATACTTTAATTATTTTTTTTCTATTTATATATAATTTATAATTAAGATATTTGTACCGACGCGTGTCAAAATATATCCACAAAGCATTGAAGTGCGAATTAAGTTATATTTTCAAAAAAAGGCTGGGGAAATATATCGACTAAAATAGCCGTTTTTTAATCAGCTACATTCTAGTAAATGACTAAAAATATAACAATAACCCAATTATATTATATACAATACTTCTAAATTTGGTGGTGCGAGATTTTATAAAACTGAACCTCAAATCGGGGAGTAATTTTTAAGAACAATCATTTTAATATCACTCATAAAAAATAAATTTTGGGACTACAGGCGGAATCTTTTCGCACGAAAGGGGGGGGGGAGGGGTGCACATCTTTTTTTCTTTCAAAAAAATGGAAATATAAAATAATAAAAGGGAAAATATAAAATAAATACAAATCAAGCATTATTTTTTAAAACCTCCCATCTTCTTGAACATGTTGGGGTAGGAATAATGTCTCATGCGTTTGATTTCCTCCTTCGAAGCAGTTTCTGCGACTTTGAATGTTAATGACACCTCTCGGAAGCGGAGATTTTCGGTGGGCACAAATCCGTCCAAAAATATGTTGATTCCTTATTATAAATAATATATTACATGTTTTTTTCATTTTATCCTTGTGTTTATTTTTCTTTCTTTCTGAGGTTCTTAATAAAATACCCTGATTATTTTGGCATACTTTTCTTTCTTATTATTTATTATACAGTTTTCAAGAATACATATTTGCATTTATGTGTCATATTCTATTCAATCATCATAAAACAGTTTTTTGTTATATATCCATCCCCATCACTCTTTAGGAGCCAATGTCAGGAAGAAAGGTCACCCGACCTTTTCTAAAATATCCCGCAGACCTTCACTTTTCTGCAACAAAATGAAAAACCTGCTCAGCTAAGTGGAATTCGGTTACGACCAGTGTATTTAAATTATTTTTTTTAAGATTGGATTTCTAATACCAAAACCTTAACCATATAAAATTATATATACTGTCATATATATGCGATATTTTTATTCATATTAAAGAGGAATAGTGTAGTAATATTATATTTATTAAATGTAGTATTATACATTAATTTTATCGATTTCTTAATAGTATTCGAATTCGTTTTATAGCTACAAAATATTTTGCTTTCGATTAACATAAACTATTATATATTTGTTTTTTATTATATATAATTAAATTTAACTGAAAAACACATATATAAAATTCTTGCAAAATCATTAGTTAAAGAATAATAAAAAGACTTAATTATCAATAGCATTTCTTATCTGAACCCTCGTATATCAAGTTTTGATATTTGTTAATTTAATTTACAATTCACTCATTAAATAGCGCTACTTCTGATCCCCAAATGCTACATGGTGAAGAACAGGGGAAACCGCTTAGTGCAAGTTGACGGAAAGACGATTAGCTGCATGAAAACAATTCCCGCCGAATTATGCACTCACATGGTATAAAGGACGAATAGCTGCTGCATGAAAACAATTATATTGTAAATTATGATTTTACATTCAAAATTCTTTTTATTTATTTTTGATCCAAATACAAACGTTTAAGTTAATAATATATTATAACTTCATATTTTTATTTTTAAAAAAATGAATTTCAAACATTTTACAAATATAAAAGAACTTACAAATTAAAAAGTATAATAGAAAAAAAGGATATATTAATTTCAATCACAAAATCTATGAATGTATTGAATATTGTGTCGAATAATGACTGGCAAACCTGGTATTAAAAATTAAAAAACAAAACAAATCAGGAACGTTTAGTAAAATAATGGTTTCGCCTCCCAAAATATCTCGAATTTTGAGCAATGGAGATCCTAAAATATAATCTTCGTTGGTGATTGATAATGCAAACATAATCAATCTTCAATTAACTCGTAGGTTTCAACTTGTAGAATCAATGATTTTTACTTTTGCCCAGGCCCAATCTAAATTTGAAAACAGGCTTTGGATTAAAAGCTGAAAAATTCGTTTTTAAAAAGATTTTAACGATAAAATCTTATATAATATAATTTATTATTATACAAGATGAGGAGGTGTTTGGTAGTATGTGACTTTTTTAAACGATGGGAGATGATCTAGGTAGATATTTTTTATATGTGCGCGAATAACAATTTACTCAACCCTCTAAAGGTTAGTTAAATAATTTTTCAAGGCAAATTTTAAAAATATTTTTATAATATATGAGTATAAATAAAAATTGTAAGTTAGTTAGATTGCGATTTTTTATTACATATTTTTAAAAAATTGTCATTCTAGGGTTTACCTATTTTTTAGATTTAATCTTTACAAATTATTTTAATACATTTTCTCTTATAATAAATAGAAGATTTATATTATCAGGCTTGTTGGCACCTTTCTTAAAAATCTAATCATAATCTGAAAAGAGAGAAAAATCCCAATTTTTTAAATTTTATTGTCATCATTTGTTAGATTTTTATAAAAAGTCTTCTAATTTTATAAAGATTAAATAAAGTTTTATTTATTTACTTATATTTTAGTTTTACTAATATTTCAAAATTTGTGAAAAAAAAATCTATCAATATGATAAAGAGACACGGTGGCAGGCCAAGATAAAAACTGATAAAAAAAGATTAATTTACATTATATTACAACATGTCTAAAAAGTTTAATAAGTTAGTAAAATTCGCGATATATTTTATAAAAGGTTTTATGTAAAAATCGCGATATATTTATAAAAGGTCATAAGTAGAAATCGCGATATATTTATAAAAGGTTATATGTAGAAATCGCATTATATTATATAAGAGGTCACTCAAATATTATAATTATTTTAATTATATTTTAATTAATATTTTAATTAATATTTTAATTAATCTATTATTTTATTTTACATTTTATTTCACGTCTACAATATTCCCCTCTCTGAGAATCCTATATTTATTTTTCGCGATCGTCGATTTCTTATAGCAAATAAATTTCGTCGTGGTTTGTTATCGCGAATTAGTAGTCGGGTTGATTTGTTGTTTATCGATCTTGTTTGTATGTCAATAAGTGGCATTAATATCTTTTAATACTATCACGATCATCGACTTGGTTATGTGTATCAAAACCATTCAGGTGTTGATTTAAGACATCATAACATCATCGTGGTATTTATTAAGTTATCACAATTTGAGAATAGTTTGTTATTATCATCAAGTTTATATTATATAATTTCAATATTTATGAATATTTCTATTTATTCTAAAAAAATTTAATTTTCTTATTTTATTTTAAATATCATCAAATTACGAATATCTATTAAATCTATATTTTCCAAATTCGAATATCTATTAAAACTTCATTTTAAATATCATTAATTTACGAATATCAACTTAAATTTTTAATTTATTTACATGTTTTATTTTTTAAATTAATTACTTTATTTTACATTTTATTTCACGTCTACAACACAATAAAACAGTCCTTACTTTTTAAGAATAATTTTAGCCATGGAACTAAAAAATAATAGCATTTTACAAAATTATATATATTTATAAAATATAGTTTATTATCAGCTTGGAACGCGGTTCTTAAATAGAGTAGTTCGGAGGGTTCCAAGTTTGAATCACACAACATTTTAAGAAACATGCAAATAAATCATGTGCATTCTTGTTAACCTGGTTATTGGAAACTTTACAATGGGTTCTCCGGTTCCAGCAAATTTTAAAAAAGGGTTCAAGTTCCGAGGGTTTCAGATTCCTATTCTAAACCCTAGTTATTATGTATGTTTTAAGTAGTGCTGTAAACGTTACTTCAAAAAAAGAAACGGTTGTCCGAAAAAAATAAACGCGTTACCGTTACCTTAAGGACGCGTTACTGACTATTTAAAAAAGTAATGGGTTACTCGTTACTTAAAAAATTAAATATTATATATAAAAAAAAATTCCCCCTATATATAATAAAAATAAAATTATGCAAAAAAAATATATAATAAGATATATTTTATAATAATTTTTTTTTATATGTAATTTACAAATAAAATACAACAATAATATATTATAAGATATATTTTTAATATAATTTTTTATTTATCTTAAACTTCAATTGATTTTTAAAATTGATCAAATAAGAAAGAGGGTTTAGCGCTAAACACAGCTTTCGCTGTGCTAAACACATTAACTGGTGCAGAGGATGGAAGGGTTATATTGTATTGGATAAATATAAATTTTAATTGAGAGAATTTATTAAAAATTCAAGAACAATCTTTATTTTGAAATAGGTTTAGTTCATCGTCAAAAAAATCTTTATTAGATCCTCATCTAATTTTTTTAATCTTTATTACGAAATAATCTGTACGTATGTTGTTTTTTTAAAGGAATTAAGCCTGCCTTTTCTTTGTCAAGATCTTTTTTTAAACAGGAAATAAGTACAAGTTCCCTTCCTTTGCTGACGTCTAATTTTACGAGGGACATTCTGATTAATAGCGGGTGAATTATTGCTAATAATATATATTCAATTGAAATAAAATATTATCAAAATAAATTGAGAACAATATTTCAACTGTAAACCTTTTATCTTTGTCTTGCAGAATTGCGTTAATAAGTGGCTTACAAAATAAAATTCTTCAAAGCCATTTTTTTAACATTATAATAGTTAACGTGGGAGTAAACTCAAATGCAATTTTCTTCTCTCTCTAAAATTGAAAGAACCGTAGGAACAGGTTCCATAACCTATAAAATCATATATACATAGCCATACAATATTCATCTATGAACGGCTTGTCATTATCTGAAAATCTCTGTAATTTGAATTTATCACAAGATTCGTCAAATTAGTTGCCATTCTCCTTGAAGATTATATTAATTTCAGGGAGTTATAAAAAGAGTTCCATCCTAATATAACCAGTTTAATCAAATATCCCATTTTTTCCTTAAAAATGGCTGCAGTTTGGAGGATGCCCAAGTTTATTCCACAATTGAGGTATAAAAAATATATAAGTTGGGACACAACTTACATTTATTGTACCCTTATTTCTTCATTGGTGTAAAAAATGTTTCATATTAAAGCCAAGGCAGTCCTTATCATTCATCTTAAGAAAATGTACAATAACAAAATATTCTTTATAAAATAAATTATAATTTTAATAAGAATATAAATTTACATAGATTGAATGATTCAATATTAATTGGATTAACATCTTGACTGAAAATTTAAAATAAAAATGAAGGAATTTAGTGGTTAATGTGAATTAAAAACTAGGCTTAAATTATTTATAAAATTTAAAAAAATAAATTTTATAATATAATAAAATATGTTTTCTCATATTTTTTAAGAACAATTTGAAGTAACGAGTAACATTTTGCGTTACCGTTACTTAAAAAAGAAACGCCTTACCGTTACCTCTAGAAGAAGGTAATGAATGGAGTACCTTTTCTTCAAAAAAGGTAACGCCATTAGTAACGACGTACCTTGCAGCACTAGTTTTAAGTATTTTTTTTAAAATAATTGGTGTTGGCGATATGAGCCAGATATCTGGCAGCATCTGGGTATGGGCAAAAAAGTGATACCGGTGCATCTCTGGAATGAACAAATTTAAAACAAAGAGAAAATAATGTTTTTATATTTATACAACCTTCTCTCACACTAAAGGGCATAGTAACAACACCGTAGGCACCTGGAACACCATATAAACAACATATGAAATCCGAAAGGTAATCCAATATGGAAAGATCGTGTTCAACTACAATTATGTAACTTTAAAAAAAAATACAAGTATATATGAGCAATAAGGAACACTTTATTCGCCTATTCCATCCCGGTAATTTTCATTTCTCACTTTCTATTTTTTTTGTATTTTCTTTCTTCTATTCTATCTCTTCCAAAAATCAAAAACACTACTATTTACATCCTAATAAATAAGAAGTTTGTATAAAATATAAATTTAATTCTTTCTATCCTGTTTTATTTTCCTGTATTTTACTTGGAGTCATGCAGCAGTTCTCTTATAGCTATGGCTGCGTTCAGTCTTTGCTTGACATCCAAGTAACTGGAAGGTTCATCAAACATGTAAATTTCGGCCTTTTGCACACAGACCATGGCAATAGCAAATCTCTGAAGTTCGCCACCAGATAATTCATCAATCTTCCGCTCTTTAATTTTGCCAGTAAGATCTAGTCTATTACACACTTCATTTTGGTTTTTTTTGGTGTCCTTTTTGTCCAATAACTCCTGAACTGTTCCCTTTTGTATTAAAAGTAAAGAAACAAAAAATAAACTTAAGTGTGAAAAGAAAAAATGGAGAAGAAAAAAATGAAATTGTAAAAGAAACAATTTTACTTGAACAGCCTTAGGTATTTGATCTACATATTGTGGCTTAATAATGGCTTTCAAATTATCTTCCAAGATTTTTGTGAAATAATTTTGCAATTCAGAGCCGCGGAAGTATATAAGTAATTCACTCCAATCTGGTGGATTCTAATATTTGATTTAAATTAAAGAATATATTAATATATATTTCTTTCAAAAACTATTTTTTTCTTTCAATGTAAATAAAGTTTTCTTATACATTATTACATTTTTCTTTTTAAAATTAGTGCTTATTTTAACCATATTGGCATCCACTGCGATTGAGCATTGGCATGATACTCAGGTTATGGTATCAGCCAATATTTTTCATTTTTTGCCGATATCATAGACTGCATCAGGGCAGTGAAAGCTTTATACCATCAAGCCAATGTAACACCAAAAAAATTGATTCTGCATAATTCTCTTTTATTACATAGGATTTATTCCTTTGGGGTGCATTATTATTATTGTTAACATGGCTACCATATTATTAATATTCAATCAGGTATCTTATTGCAAGATTTGAAAAATGTCAGATTTTTATATAGGCGAAAGAAGCAATCCATGTCTTTGTCCTACAAGAACAGCAGTCGTATAAAAAAACCAATTGAAATTAGGTAAATAAAAGGTATGAATGGTGGTTAGTGAGCTTGGCTATCTAAGTTAAATAACTATGCCTAAATGATTTTCTAAGAACCTGTAATTAGTTTATGTATTTTTTCCTAGAGATTTTAATTCTTGGAGGGGTACGATGCATTTTTAAAATCATTTGAATATCATATTTATGCTACCTGCACAAGCTACTTCGTCATCGGAAACGACGAAAATATTAAAATTTATATTTATAATCATTCCAATTTACTGCAAGTTATATAATATTTATATTTGAAACAGGAGTTAATCATATATGAATTTATTATTTTATCATTAAAATTTAAAAAATGATAAGTTATTATATTTTTAGATAAAATTATTAATTTTAATGATTAAACCATATTTAATAAGTAAAAGTACAATCAAGGCAACGTTTCACTTTATTTAATCATTTTTTAAAAAATTGCTACACCTCCTGATATGGCTGGGGAAGGATACTACTTTTTTTAAAAAATATTATTGAATAATTTAAATTATATTTTATTTATATAGATAAAAATAAAACTTTTCATTAAACAATAACAAAAAATTAGTCCTTTTTCCAGTGCCTCAGAGGGTGGAGTCCACATTAATAGAGGAAATTATGAATTGCCTGCTAGCATTTGACCTCTTTTTTATGTTAATAAATTTTGTAGTAGGCAGAAAGAACACTTAGAGTTGGGAAATAAAAATCAACAGCTTTTAATTTATGTATCAGGTCAATTCAGCAAAACTTTTATCGCGAATGTCGTTTACCGCCAAGGAATTTTATAGCGGAGGTAATATCGCGGAACCAGTTCCGCGAATTTTTTACGCGAGACATTTATAGCCAATTTATTACCGCGAAACCTTAATCGCGAATTCATTACAGCGAATCCATTTTAGCGAAAGTTTTAACCTAAACCCTTTACCGTGAATGTTTTTGCGGGAAGTCATTATCGCGAAACAATAAATATATTACAAATGCATTTATTTAAAGGAAAACAACATATTGAATATTAATTTACTCACAAAGTCCCTTAAATCATAAATGCGAAATGTTTCATGGATCTTTTGTCACTTATTGTCTATTAAGTAAGCATGTAACCTTTATCTGATATGATAAAAAATTAATTAATCAATATCTTTCTGGGCTCTTCTCACGCATAGTTGACTTGTAAGTATGGAGAATATATTTGGCTAAGGTTTTTACCCCAATAAATTCACCCCTCTCCCAACATAATTAAAATGTGCGGTATGTCATTAAAAGTAAATTTGAACAAATATTTTGAAATGTTTAAATATTTTTCACTAAGAATTTTTGCTGATTTCTCAGATTATTTTTAAAAATCATAAAAGGTTTTGCTAAGTAATTTTTTCAAATTTTCTCAGAATTATTTTATTATTATGACACAGAATAATGATTAATTTGAAAACTCAAAAAAACATGCTTATACACTTAAATAAAATAAATAGTAAATATTTCTGAGCAATATATTATATTTTATAAACAATTCAATTCGAAGAAAATTAAAATTTTTATTTAACAAAATCATCTTTCGGGAAATTATTAAAAATTACTTTAAGTAGTTTTGATTCTGAGTAATTAAGGGAAAAATAATAATATATGCTAAAGAACTATCTTACGTGTTTTGTAGTTAAACATTACGTATTGGCTTTAACTATAGAATTAATGTAATTGTCATAATCGTTATTTTTAAACTTTTTTAAAAATATAAATTTTAAACATGTTAAATATAGATTTTTGAGAAAGATGGACCATAGAAAAGTGACATTTGTCATAATCTTTATCTTTAAACTTTTTTAAAGCAAATGGGTAAAAACATATATTATAACCATGTTAATAAGATTTCAGTGAAGATGTACCATAGAAGTGACAATTGTCAAATGCGTTATTTTTAAACTTTTGAATTTTTTTTGAAGCAAATGAGTAAAAATATCAGAGACCTGCAGAGGTACCATTTGCACGGCCCGGCCCGGTTTTAAATTTTTTTGATCCGGCCCGGCCCGGATATTTTAAAAAAAAATTTTTACGGCCCGGCCCGGATATTTTTTAAAAAAAAATTTCAGGCCCGGCTCGAAATTTTTTAAAATTATATTCGACCTGGTATATACAAAAATTCACCTATGAGGTATTTTACCATATTTTTCAGCGAGTATTATCGCTTATTATTTAAAAAATACATGTAAAAAGCTAATATTTTGAGAATATTATATTGAATTTATAAAAATTATAAAACTGTTATTTATAAAAATGGATATTTTGAGCATATATTATATTTTATATTGCATTTATAAAAATAAAACTAATATTCATAAAAATGGTAATAATATTTGTCATATACTATATTTTATATTACATTTAAAAAAAAAACTAATATTTAATTTATAAAAATGGAAAATATTTTGAGAATATAATATATTGTATTTAATTTACTATTTAATTTATAAAATAAAAATAAATAGCTATTTAAAAAAATGCATGTATAATAAATAGTTTGAAAATATAATCTATTGCACAATATAAATATAATTTATTTTATAATATAAATTTTTAACAAAAGAAGATAATTGTATTATATAATATTGTAAAAAAAAATAATGAAAAATGTTGGATTAAAAACTTTCATGACTCAAGGTAAATATAATAAATGCAATAAATATTTGACAGTTTGCAAAGTAAAAAACCAGCATGATTGACGAAACCCTATACTCAAGAAAGATATTAAAAATTCACAAATATCATGAAGAAAGAGAAGCATATCTACCTTTTCAGGTTGAAGATTACTTCTTCTTTCTTCAAGAATTCTCCCAGTAGTGGAAAAATTCCGCTCACAGCTTGCACTTGAAGCAGGAATTGCCAATACCCGTTTTGCCAATTTTGCTAAAATTGGAAATTCGCTTTGATGAGCCGCCCACCACTCTAACAAATTATCCACCTTAAATGTTTCATCTATTTTTTTATTTATGTAATTATAATATTCATCATCGGGTATTGACATATTACCAGAATTACCATCGCCCTATTTGTCATAAAACGATTCAGTTTGTTTAACAACAGTCGTAATTTGACTGGTCGATGGTATTTCATTTACTTCCTGAGCCTCTTGTAATTTAATATAATCTTTTATATAGTTTTCCGTCATTTTGCGATCTGTCCCTGACTACATACGTAATTGCTTGAATTTGGGACAGAGAAAAAGAGAAATAAAATGATACTTGTGTAAAACAAATTTTTCAATTAAAAAATGCTTTATATTAAGTAAAATCAATTTTATTTCTCCTTTTCGCTTTGAAAGGTATTACAAACTTTAAGAAGTGATATTCCTTTGGTAAAATATATTCTAAAAATTTAGATATGAATTATAAAAAAATATATTAATAATACTTGAATATTGGGGCTTATTTAAGATATTCCTTTATTTGATTGTTTTGGTAAAATATGTTGTAAAAATTTAGATATGAATTATAAAAAAATATATTAATACTTTGAATAAATTTGCAGGAAATTAATAATTAGATCGATCTGTGGGTTGTTAGGTAGTGTTAACCATCACCCAATATTATATTAATCATAACTATAATATAATCTTATAACCATAAACACATAATGTAAAAATTTTTATAAAAAATATTAAGGCCCGGCCCGGATCTTAGGCCCGGCCCAGATATATTAAAAAAAAATTCTTTAGGCCCGGCCCGGGTATATTTAAGTTTAGGGCCGGGCCTGCAGGTCTCTGAAAAATATAAAGTGTAAGCTTGTTAAATTGAAATTTTAGTGAAGATGTATCATAGTAAAATGACATTGTCAGAATTTTTAAGCTATTTTGAGGAAAGGAGCAAGCTTTTAACCTAGGCCGGCCCATCTTAAGCGGGAGAGTAAAATAATTTTATAAAACGGACGAGCGGGCGGGTTAAATAATTATTAAACTCTTCACATATCAAATAAGTTATAAACAGCAAAATAAATTTTAATAAAAATATAATTTATCAATTTTAAAATCAAGACAAATTTTATAGACTTTAAATCAAAAAGTCTGAAATAGCCTTTGTTTTCTCTCATATAAATATCATTAGGTAAAGATCATACTTTACTTATAATATGCGCGAAACCAGAAAGGGGAGGAATTGCACCCCCCCCCTCACCGAAGCAAACATTTTTCGAAATATATAAAAGATTTTCATAATATGTTAATCGCAAAGTAATCTATTTCAAATTATATTCTATTTTAAATATTAACAGAAAGTTAAAAAATTTAAATATTTTTCTTTGTATTAAATTTTATCTCACAAAATATTTAAGTTTATTTTCTTACACTTTTATGAATATAAAAAAATTTTATCAATCAAAAAAAATTCATTTAGATTATCTCTATTAATAACTATGATTAGGAAAATTTCTAGTGTATATAAAATGTTCAGATATCCAAATAGACAGAATTAGAATAAAATTATTTCTAAAGTGCTATAGGAAGAAATAAACTGCAAAAAGCATGCCCGATAAGATGGAACATTCGGCTACTGGATTGTCTAGGGGGATGAATGATAATAGATGATTGACTTATTTTTTGTAAATTATAGTTTTAAGTGACACTTCTTCTGGGTGATATATATAATTATAGATGACCTGGTAAATTTGACAATATTTTCATTTATTTACTTAGGAGTTAGGTAGGACTAATATTTTTACGCAAAAATTTTTAAAAATAAAAATATGATATGAGAAACAACGTCTAAGGATAATAACCCCGGGTGTTTTTCTTATTTCTTAAATTTTCATTTTTTTAAATTTTATAAATAAAAAACTAAAATTATTTTTTTCTTAAATATTAATTCCTACCTTAGAGAACTTGCTAATCTATTATTTTTTTATAGCACTTATATAACCCCGGCTTTCCCTAATCATATTTTTACAAAATAATATTTAATTTTTTAAAATATATTAATTTTTTGATTTAAATAACAAATCATAATATTTTATAAAAAAAATTTAAAATATGTGAATTTAATTTATTTATGCTTTTGGTTATATATGTATGGCGCCACATATCATTTATTTTTACAGTTTTATTTTTTAGAATTAAAAATAAAATATTAATTTATTAAACCTACAATATTATAAATGAAATACTAACAAATCAATTTGTACTCTTTAATAAAAATATAAATATTCGATTCGTATTTTTGGAAGGTATACTTGGTAATAAAAGAACCCTGGATGTAATTTGACCTAGTTAAAGATTTTGTATATAAGGAATATATCTATCAAACTTCAAAATTATTGATTTTATATTTTTTTTTAAATATTTACAATTTGTTGAGCTTAGAGGGTATGGGGTATTGAGTCAACAATTATTTAGCATAATGAAATTATGGCTTAATGATGGGGGCTCCCACTCATATATTTTTGTGAACAGTAATTTTATCACAAATTTTTTGATTTTTAAATCAAAAAGTTAAAGCACCAATTTCTCCTAATTGATAATGATATACTATAGTCTAGAGTGGTAGTTTTTAATAATATTTATGTAAGATCTGCATGGTATAATAACTTAAAGTAATAGCGAATATGGAAATTGTCACTTTTCTTTTTCATCCTTACTGAAATTTTAATTTAAATGCTCACAATTTATATTTTTACCTATTTGCTTTAAAATAATGAATATTACAATTGTCATTTTTCAATGGTTCATCTGCACAGAAATTTTAATTTAACATGCTTAAAATTTATATTTTTACCCATTTGCTTCAAAATCTCCAAAATAATTGAAAAATAATGAATATGATTGTCATTTTCTATGATTCATTTTCACTAAAATCGCAATTTAACATGTTTACAATTTATTTTTTTGCCAATTTTCTAAAAAATAAATTCAAAAAGTTTAAAAATAACGATTATGACATTTGTCACATTTCTATGGGGCATCTTAATTTAACATGTTTACAGTTTATATTTTTACCCATTTACTACAAAAATTTAAAATTAACGATTATGACAATTGTCACTTTTCTATGGTATATTCTCATTTAAATTTATTACAATTTATAATTTTACCTTGCTTCAAAAAAATTTAAAAATAACGATCATGACAATTGTCACCTTTCTATAGTACATCTTCATTTAAATTTTAATTTGACATATTTACAATTTATAATTTCACCCATTTGCTTCAAAAAAATTCAAAAAAGTTTAAAAATAACGAATTGTAATTTTTTTATTATACATCCTAATTTAATTTTAATTTAATAAGTTTACAAATATTATTACCCATTTGCTTCAAAAAAATTCTAAAAAGTTAAAAAATAAGGATTATGACAATGACAATTTTGATGGTACATCCTCATTTAAATTTTAATCTATCATGTTTACAATTTATATTTTTACCCATTGGATTCAAAAAAAAATTTAAAAATGACGATTATGACAATTGTTACTTTTTATGATACATCCTCATTTAAATTTTAATTTAACATGTTTACAATTTATATTTTTACCCATTTGCTTCAAAAAAATTTTAAAAAGTTAAAAATAAGGGTTATGACAATTGTTACTTTTCTATGGTTCAAATTCCCTAAAATATCAATTTAACATGTTTACAATTCATTTTTTTTATCTATTTGCTTCAAAAAAATTCAAAGTTTAAAAATAATGATTATGACAATTGTCACTTTTCTAAAATACATCTTCGCTAAAATACTATTGGCATGTTATTATATATATTTTTAGTCATTTGCGTCAAAATAACTTAAAAAATATGTCACTTTTCTATGGTTCATCTTCACTGATATCTCAATTTACCATGTTTACAATTTAATTTTTACCCCGAGTATATAGTAATGCAAGTTCGGCCTTAAAATTGTTGACTATGGGTCAACTAAGCCTACCAAATGGTTCGGCCAACTAAATGGATCAACTTAAGCTGAATATCGACTAATTTAGTGGCTAAAGTTTTTAGTCGATTTGAATTAGACTAATTAACAAGACTAAATAATTATTGCGATATTGACCTCGTGATATTAAATTCGTTATAATATCTTTGTGATATATTCGCTATATAGTGTTCGCGATAATGACTTCGTTATAAAATTTTCGCGATTATTGATTCGCGATAAAAGTTTCACTGCAATGTATTCGCTTTATAGGTTTTGCTATAAAAAAATTCGCGATATTGTCTTCGTGGAAAAGTATTAGCGATAAAATTCATTCGCGAAAAAGTATTTCGTGATAAAAGTTTCGCTGAATTGACATGGAGCCTTTAATTTAAGCCTCATATTACATTCACATTCAATATTAAGCTTATGCAACTAAAGTCGGCAAAAGAGGAAGAGAAGGATATATTTTGTGATAAAATACTAGAAATCATATCAGGCGTGCCAAATGGGGAGGCAATTGTATGAAGAAAGAGTTCGTTTTTTACAAAATGTTGAAGGAGAGGCTATTAGACCATATAAATGTTTGCATGGAACATACTCTTCAAGAAAGGTCGAAAGAATGGAGATTTATGAATTCGGGGATGCAATTTAGTGGATTATTTAATGGTAAGGAGAAGCGATAGAGGCAATAACAAATGTGAGGGTAATTGCAAGAGAGGAGTATGTTTAAAATAATTATTTTGAGTTCGAGATTTCTTCTATATTTTTTAAATAATGCTGTATGCTACAACTTCCTATGCCTAAATCTAAAAAAAAATTGAAAATTAAACCAGATGGTGGGCTTGTTTTAAAACTCAACAAAACCCATTCGCATAATAGTTTAAATATTTCTTTATCATTTTTTACTTTGAAACATGAGATTTTAATCAACTTTGTTAGATAAGTTAAGGATAGGCTTATAAAGATATTTAAAAATATTTTTTGGAAAGGTTCGGCAAGAAAAAATATTACACAATTTGCAGATCTCTGAGATAGATAATAAAGAGAAATAAATAAATTCTAACTTTTCTTAAAATATCAAGTATAGTAATGACATATAATATAAATGATTGTTTGCTTTAAAGCATTAAGGTAATTTTGAACAGAAAATGCTAGGTGTAAAAATGCCACAATAGTATTAGCCTATATTATGAAAAAAAGGTATTTCAATTGCAAAATGATATAAAATTTAGGAGTAAAATAGGTGTATCCATGTAACTTCAAAATCACTCATATATTATTAGTGAAACTACAATATTAAAAATTAATAGGACTATGCTGATTCACAAATTTTTCACTGATCCAATTCAATCTTATATTACTTAAAACCAATCTGATTCTGATCTGATAATTATATTGATTCTTATTTACCATCTATTTTGAGTTTATAAATATTTTCTATTTTAAAAAAAAACCAACTTTTAATTAATTATTAAGTATAATATTTTTATTCTCCAAAATTAATAATCTCATTAAAAATATTTGCAATGTTTATGGATAAATGAAGTGTTGTTAAACAGTTCCATTTAATCAATCAATTTTAACCAAATATTATTAACTAAGCCTCAAAATTGTACCAATAGAAGTCCAACTGCTACTGTAGGCCAAATAAGGCCCTCAAACAAATCCTCTTTCCTTAGCCATAGATATCCTAAATTTACATTGATGCAATAAGGATGAGATAAATAAGTTAAAATAGAGGTATTTAATATGTTTCTATATGGTACAAATAAAAGTCAAGAAAAAAGATTAATAGTTTAGGTTATTAAAAATGTTTAATATTATAAATGATATAAAATTTTCCTAATATAAGTATATGAACAATCATATAAAATAACCAACTACAATGGTAATTGATACGGTTATTTTTTTTTAGAAAATAAATAATTTGTATAATGGTATTTTATAAAGTCTAATAAATAAGAAGAATCAATCCAATTTCATTTTACCAAAATAATTATTAAAATATTTGTCTTTATTGTAAATACTTAATTTACTTTCTTTGTATCATATATATAATTATTTTAAACCTCATATTTTCCTAAATTGGGTTTGAGTTTACCAGCTAAAATTTTCAAAGCAGTGGATTTTCCAATTCCATTTGTGCCAACAAGTCCTAACACTTCACCAGGTCGGGGAATAGGTAATCTTTTTCATAAGAGAATGTTAAAGGGAAACTTAAAGCAAATTTAACAATACCATTACTTTTCCAACATTATGTTTATTTAGAAATAATAGCATTAAGTTAATGATTTATAAATGTAATTCAGAACAATGAGAAAAAATAAAATATTGTTATATATTTAAACAATATTTCTGATTAAAATAATGAAGAACCATTTTATGTCTATAAACTTTATTAAAATATACCTGTGCAATTTAAATGAATTAGCAGAGTATCTATGAGTAGTATCTTTTTCTAAATCACTGGGAAGATTTATAATAGTTATAGCTTCAAATGGGCATTTTTTGACACATATCCCACATCCAATACAAAGTTCTTCCGAAATATTAGCAATTTTGGACAATGGTGTGACTTCAATGCATAGTTTACCTATTTATCAAAAAGATTAATTATAATTTCAAGAAAATATAAAAAATTCACCCATTTTATTAACTGGGCAAGATCTTTTGCATTCTTGGCGACATTTTTTAGGTTTGCATCTATCTTTATTTACAATAGCTATACGTATCATTTTGGTTTCTGGCATGATGAATCGCTTCAATGTTAAAATTTGCTTTTGCGAAATGAGGAAATCTCATCGAATTATAGAGGGAGTTAAACAAGTTTTAATTCGGTAAACCAGGTTAATATCGAAAACTTTAACAAACTGTTTCATTCAATCATCGTTAAAAAAAAAAGAAAATTCGAAATCAAGTTTAAAATAATATTTGATTGTTTTCTAAGATTTGGCTAAATATTTTTATAATCTTTTGCATAAATTCTTTATGATTATTAAATTTTAGGATCTGCTATCATTATCATCAGGTTAAGATTTCTAGACTGAAGAAATAAATAATTATTGTTATTTCAGGAATATGATTCAACAAAATATTATAATTTGTTCTTCAATTTATGTAGTAAATATTTTTGAAATCTTTTGATTAAATTATTTATGATCTGTATAATTATCATCAAGTTAAGATTTCTAGATTGAAGATGAATAATTATTTATACTTCAGGAATATTGTTCAACAAAATATTATGATTTATTTTATAATTTTCTAATTAGAAGAATTATATTTTTTATGCAATCCATATTATTAGAAAAATATTATGTAATATTTTTAGTAAATCTGCTAAGATGCTGTATACTTATTTGATTTTACAAAACTACGTTGTTAAGAATAAAAATGAAATGTATTAATAGAAGTAATTCTTGAAATATATTTTTATTTTATTCGTTATCATATCGCATTTTCTTTTCTATTAAAATTCATATAATAAATATAATAATGAAAATAAACATTTTACAAAAAATACAAATATAAACTGTAAAGATTCTATCAAATATAACTACGAATAAGAATATCTTGTATTTAATGAATAAGATTCACATGTATGTATTTCTATATAAAACTATATATTAATAATAATTGACAGCCCATCACTTCTTCAACGTCATAATAATAATTGACAGCCCATCATTTCTTTGACGTCATCCCGACACTTCCCCCCTTTACAAACACTTTTTCATTTTTCCATCTCATACTCACCCTCCAGCATCACACCATTCCAATCATTAGTCTAACAATATACCATTCCATTCATTCGACCAAATCCCATCTGCCTCCCATTTGCCCATTACCATTCATCATCATCCCAATCCCACAGGATTGCAAGATCCATATGTATTTCCTCCAGCATCATACCATTCCAAATCCAATCATTCGTCTAACAACATACCATTCCATTCATTCGACCAAATCCCATCTGCCTCCCATTTGCCCATTACCATTCATCATCATCCCAATCCTATATAATTGCAAGATCCATATATATGTATTTTCCTCCAGCATCATACCATTCCAATCATTCGTCTAACAACAAACCATTCCATTCATTCAACCAAATCCCATCTGCCTCCCATTTGCCCATAACCATTCATCATCATTCCAATCCCATATCATTGCAAGATCCATATATATGTATTTCCTCCAGCATCATACCATTCCAATCATTAGACCAACAATATACCATTCCATTCATTCGACCAAATCCCATCTGCCTCCCATTTGCCCATTACCATTCATCATCATCCCAATCCCACAGGATTGCAAGATCCATATATATGTATTTCCTCCAGCATCATACCATTCCAAATCCAATCATTCGTCTAACAACATACCATTCCATTCATTCGACCAAATCCCATCTGCCTCCCATTTGCCCATTACCATTCATCATCATCCCAATCCTATATAATTGCAAGATCCACATATATGTATTTTCCTCCAGCATCATACCATTCCAATCATTTGTCTAACAACAAACCATTCCATTCATTCAACCAAATCCCATCTGCCTCCCATTTGCCCATAACCATTCATCATCATTGCAATCCCATATCATTGCAAGATCCATATATATGTATTTCCTCCAGCATCATACCATTCCAATCATTCGTCTAACAACAAACCATTCCATTCATTCAACCAAATCCCATCTGCCTCCCATTTGCCCATTACCATTCATCATCATCCCAATCCTATATAATTGCAAGATCCACATATATGTATTTTCCTCCAGCATCATACCATTCCAATCATTTGTCTAACAACAAACCATTCCATTCATTCAACCAAATCCCATCTGCCTCCCATTTGCCCATAACCATTCATCATCATTGCAATCCCATATCATTGCAAGATCCATATATATGTATTTCCTCCAGCATCATACCATTCCAATCATTCGTCTAACAACAAACCATTCCATTCATTCGACCAAATCCCATCTGCCTCCCATTTGCCCATTACCATTCATCATCATCCCAATCCTATATAATTGCAAGATCCATATATATGTATTTTCCTCCAGCATCATACCATTCCAATCATTCGTCTAACAACAAACCATTCCATTCATTCAACCAAATCCCATCTGCCTCCCATTTGCCCATTACCATTCATCATCATCCCAATCCCACAGGATTGCAAGATCCATATATATGTATTTCCTCCAGCATCATACCATTCCAAATCCAATCATTCGTCTAACAACATACCATTCCATTCATTCGACCAAATCCCATCTGCCTCCCATTTGCCCATTACCATTCATCATCATCCCAATCCTATATAATTGCAAGATCCACATATATGTATTTTCCTCCAGCATCATACCATTCCAATCATTTGTCTAACAACAAACCATTCCATTCATTCAACCAAATCCCATCTGCCTCCCATTTGCCCATAACCATTCATCATCATTGCAATCCCATATCATTGCAAGATCCATATATATGTATTTCCTCCAGCATCATACCATTCCAATCATTCGTCTAACAACAAACCATTCCATTCATTCAACCAAATCCCATCTGCCTCCCATTTGCCCATTACCATTCATCATCATCCCAATCCCACAGCTTTGCAAGATCCATATATATGTATTTCCTCCAGCATCATACCATTCCAAATCCAATCATTTGTCTAACAACATACCATTCCATTCATTCGACCAAATCCCATCTGCCTCCCATTTCCCATTACAGTTCATCATCATCCCATCTGCCTTTTGCCCATTACCATTCATCATTATCCAAATCCCATTCCCATCACCATCCTAGCTCTTGCAAATCAAATCCACAAATCAAACTTGACCATTGCAAATCAAACTAGACCAATGACAAATCAAACTAGACCAATGACAAATCAAATTTAACCATTGCTAAATCTCATTCAAATAGACCATTACCATTGTTACTCATTTGCCCATTACCATTCTTCCTCACCCACATCTATCACCATTGTCTTCCAAATCATTATCCATCTTGTCTCATTCACAACCTTCTCCATCTCTTCCATTTAATCCTTTCTTTGTATCATTATCATTGTACTTTCCTCATTACTCATCCTCCAATCTCAACAGATAATTTCACCTCCCATCTGGATATTACCCATTAATCATCTAACACCAAATTACCTTTCTATATCCTTCCTTTTTCATTAAAATTTTTTTTTAAAAAAAACTCTTTCCTTTTTCCTTTTTTAATTTTTAATTTTTTTTTTAATTTTCTTTTTATTCCTTTTTTTCCTTTCTTTTATTTTTCTTTTTTTTTTTCATTTTCTTTTTTTTTCTTTAACCATATTTTCTCTTTTTCTTTTTTAAATTTCAAACAAAACAACATCTTGACAATACCAATATCAATTATTTTATACATATAACATTATTTTCACAAACTATACATAAATATATAATCATTTCTTGCTACATCCATTCCAAAAAAATATTTAAAAACACCATATTCTAATTGGTTACCACCAAATAAATTTTCTAAGAATATTTATATTTTTTCAATCACTCATTAACATTAAATAAATATTATCTTCTTTTCTTTTTTTTTTACATTATACATATTAATACTAAAAGGAGTAAATTAAATGATTTAATAGTTTATAGATTAAATTTATATAGATATATATTTAATAATAAAATTATTAGTATTATTTGGAAAGTAGATATATATATTAATATTTATAAAAATTATCTTAATGTGAGTAGTGTTTTTAGGATGATTTTGATTAAATTTTTATATTTTATTAATTTTTATAATATGTATAATTTTCATTGGAATATTTTACATGTATTGTTAAATAGGGATTATTTTGTCTCTAGTTTTATATATATATATGGGGGTGTTTAAGTGAGATTGGTGATAATTGTGTAGATGTGATGATTGGGGTATCAAGAGAATCTATAGAGACACGGAAAGTAAGGGAGGAAGGAGGGTTAAAATGGGGAAGGGTTGGAAGAAGTTAAGTCTTGTTGAGGAGTCCAAAGTCTTGGAGAAAGTATTGAGTCCTAGGGGCATAGTCCGGGGTCTAAAGTCCATTAGTAATTTGACTGGGGGGAGTAAGTTGCATGGGTTATTTTTGAGTCCACAAGGGGAGTCCAAACAGAGGGGTCAGGTGGGTGAGACAGAAAGGGTGGTTGGGGAGGGGTCAAATGTAAGATCCGGGGTTGGGGAGAAAATTAGTAGATGTCCACATGGGGTTTTAAACATGGAAGGGATTCAGGTAGAATTTTTAATTGATACTGGAGCGACAGTGAGTTTAATGGCAATAGGGGATATGTTGAAGTATTGGCAGGAGAAGAAGTTAGAGAAATTAGATAAGGTGTTGTATCTATTGAATGGGAAGACAGTTGAAAGTAGGGGAGAGTTGACAATGCAAATACCAGGGGTTAATAGTGTTATTCGATTTTGTATAGTAGATAAATTGGAGAAGATTATTTTGGGGTGGGATAATTTATGGTGGGTAGGGCCATTGTATAATTGGTGGGGTGAATTTAAGGGGATTGAGAAAGAGATGAGTAAGAAGGAGATGGTAGAGGAGGTTCAAGTAATGCAGAAGGAAGGGGAAAATGGATTGATGATGGATGATATAAGGCCGGAGAGTAGAGAAGGGGATGGAATGTTTGAGAGGGAAATAAAGGAGATTTTGGAGAAGTATAAGATAATATTTGAGAAAGGGTTAGGGATGAAAGATTTTGAAGTTAGTATGAATATAAAGAAGG